GATTGATGGAGGGATAGATGGATGGATGGATAGATGGATGGATGGATGGATGTAGGGAAGGAGGGAGGGATGGATGGATGGTTGGCAAGTGAATAAATGAATAAAGCTGCACCTAATTGCATCAGTTTCTTAGAAATTCAGGCATTGTTTCTGGATTAGGTCTTAGAGAGGTAAACAATCTCTGGAAGTCAGGTAATGAGAAAGATTCACAGAGGTAATTGAGCCCCCAACCAACCTAAGCCTGGCTAAGTAGCACAGACATGCTATCATAAACTTGCCCCTCCCAACAACCTCTGATGGCACCTATTGAGGATCACCCCCACATTCCCGAGCTCCTAAACTCGGCAATCATTACCAGTATGGCTTAATGGTTAAGAGCATAGACTCAGGAGCCACATCACCTGAGTTCAAATTCCAGCTCTGCTGTTTACTCTTGGTGACCAAGATACTTACCCCACTGTGTTGGACCCCTTGTCTGTAAAACGAGGATCAAATGTCTTCCTGGAAAGCACCCACACAGTATCTGGTGCTCCTGTTGTCACATGGGCAACACCAAACCTCTTTGGCATAAAAATCAGGACTTGAATAAACTGGTCCCAACCTACCTTTCTAGCCTCTTGTTATGGACTGAATGTCTGTGTCCCCCCTTCTGGCCCAAATTCATATGTTGAAACCCTACTCCCCAATGTGATGTCATGAGGGGTCTTTGGGAGGTCATTGGGGTTAGATAAGGTCATGAGGGTGGGGCCCTCAGCATGGGATCAGTGCCCTTGTAAGAGTCATGAGAGAGCTTGCTTCCTGTCTCTCTCTCCCCTACGTGAGGACACAGCAAGATGTCAGCTGTCTGCATCCTGGAAGAAGTCTCCCACCAGAACCCAACTGGACTTCCAGCCTCCAGAACTGTTAGAAAAAATGTTCATTGCTTAAGCCGCCCAGTCTGTGATAATTTGTTACAGCAGCCCAGGCTGACTAAGACACCTCTCTTCCACTGTTCCACCCAGAGATGCGCCTTTTGCTCATTCATTCAAAACACTTATGGAGCACCTCCATGTGCCATGCCTACACCCGAGGTGATGGCACTTATATCTACTTAGGATGCACACCCCACCCCTCTGCCTCCCGACCCACTTCTACTGACTTCACAGACCCGGCTCAAAGCCAACAATTCAGCCGGGTCTGGGCGGACTCTCCCTGCTGGCTCCCAGGGCACTTTGCAGTCCCCCCCTCCGCATCCCCATATACAAAGTGTGTACGCTTTATACACTGTGTATGGACACTGTGTAACTCTCCTCTGATACTGCAATTTCACTCCTATGACCCACCCCCACTAGACCACGGTTCCTCCAGTGTCTAGGCTGTATTCACTTGGAATCCTCCGCCTTTGCAAAGCCAGACCTCAGCTGGGTGGGGAGACTACTAAATAGTGGATGCTCAAAAAGAAGTCCCGAATAAATGACTGAGACAGATGGAGGAATGAACAGACCAACGAATAAACACCTCGATGTCTCCAGGCAAAAGACGAGCCTTATCTGGGAGAGAGTTCTTGGAATCAGCCATGGCAGTGGAAAGCACCACCGGCGTGGCAGGCTCCTTCTCACGCCTCTAGGCAGCTCATACCCACGCTAGTTCTTGTCCCCGGAAGAGCTCGTATGCCAAAGAGAGTAACTTCCTTTCTTTCCTTTTAAAGCAAAGTTCGATACTTAAAAAAATTCTATATTTTCCCTAACTCTTTTTTTCCCAACATTTTATTATGAAAATTTCCAAACGTATAGGACAGTTGAAAGAATTGTATGGGAACATATATATATATATATGCGCCATCTAGATTCTCTGATAAATATATTGCAGTATTTGCTTTATCACTGTCTCTCCAGCCCTCTCTCCATCTATCAATCCACCTTACTTTCTGATGCATCTCACAGTAAGCTGCAGACCTCAGTGTGTGTCACCCTGAACCTTGCGACTGCCAATCCTTCCCTGAAGGTCAGTGTTTGTTCCAGCTTCTTTCTTGGGGAGGAGAGAGAAAGTTCAGATTCAGTGAAAGGCACAGATCTCGAGTGTACCCTTCAGTGAGTTTTGCTGATGAGGTACACCTGTGTAACCCCAGCCCCACTCAGGACACAGAACGTGGCCACCTCCCAGAGCATTCCCAGTGCCCCTTCCCGGTCAGTCCCACCCCACGCTCCCAGAGGCAACCGTTCCTTCTGATGTTCTTCACCATGGATTAGTCCAGCCTGGAAGTCCATGTCAGTGGAATCATAGAGTGTGCTATCTGTGGGGGCTTCCACACGCGGCATGTGTCCATAGTTGATTCCTACGTACTGCTGGATATTATTGTGTCGTATGAGTTTTCCATGGTTTGTTCCTCTGTTCTCCTGTTGAGGGCCACCTGGGCTCTTTCCAGTTTGGGTCTGTTATGAATAAAACTGCCGTCAGCATTCTTGTCGCGGGCTATTTCAGGTTTCTGCGTCTTGGACAGCAGGGGGCAGCCACGAGCTGGTGAATGGAAAGGCCAGATTTTCCCTGGAGGGAGGAAGCCTCCATTCCTTACTACCATCTCAACAGATCTTGGGAAGAAAGTTATCACATCACACATTAATGAATTTGTCAGAGGGACAAGCCTACTTATCAATGGGCTGGTTATCCAGCCGACCATCATCACTGCCCAAGCCTGGTGGGTTTCCTCATTGGCCAGGAAGGCCCCACAGGAGGACTGGACAAGGGGAAGAGGCGGAGAACAGATGGATGGAGGACCCCTGCCCCTCAGGCCTCACCCGCACTGCCAGCAGGCTCCAGCGGGCACCTTCCTCCTAGGATATTACGCAATGTCACTCCATGTGTAGAGTCACACCCAGGCCCTGTGACATGTGTCCATCTTGACATGAGTCCTTCCTGGCATGCTCTGTGATGGAAGTCCTCAGACAGTCATTATTTGTGCCACCAGTGCTGCCATCTTGTGTTCTTGTGACCTCTGTATTTCCCTCGCCGGATCTCATTTGGGGCATTATATCCTGGGTGTACCTGTGTCACTCCTGAGTGACATGTCACGGCTAGAAGCCCCTTGGAGACAGCCTCACCTGGAAAAGCAGAGTTAGGCCTGGGGGAGTGAGACACAGAAAGGTTGATTTTGATGCAAAATCATGGTGCAGATTCCAGAATCACTAGGAACTATGTTTAAAATTTTAAGTCCTTGTCCCTGTCCCCAAGAATCCATAGGTCTGAGGTGGGACAGTAACGCAGAAAAAAGGGGCTTGTTCTGCTTACCACAATCTGTTGCCAATCAATTGCAAATAAGCCAGCGGTTGAGAAAGGAAAGTTTATACAATTAGCCAGCATAATCGGAAGATGGTGGACTAGTGTCCTAAAGAACCATCTTAAAAATCATACAGAATCTTGAGGCAGTTATGTAGAAGAAATGGGCAGGGAAGGAAGAAAGGGGTTTAGGGATGTTGACCATCCGGTGTGATGAACTTCACAGAGCCACATTATCTTTTTCTTCTGTCGTTCATGATGGGTACCAAAGCAGAATTTTTCCTTTTGGAGGTCATCATGTTGCCGGGGAACTCAGAGAACAAAGTTATTGTCCTATGACAGCTGGGAGATACACGCAAGCAAGAGTCGTAGAACTGGCAGATCACGTATTTTGCAAAAGCGAGAGGTGCTTAATCATCTGGGCTACGTGCAGGCTAGAGTGCATTCCCAGAGACTAGTGAGTCAGGATCATAGTTATAATATTGACTCCTTTCCCTAAGATGGCTTCCCTCATGCTAACCTAAGATCTAGCTGTTACAGGACCTGATCACTTGAACAAGGTTCCAGGTGATGCTGCTATGCGGCCAGGTTTGGAAGCCACTGGTCTGGGTAGCTGGTGGGAGTCGGGGGCAGGGATGCAGTATAAGGTCCTGAACGACCTTATGACCTTATAAGGTCCTTATGATCTCCAAGGGCACAGGAGTGGGAGAGGAGTGCCCTGAGGGCACTGGGACCCCGTTTCCACAGAGGCCAGTCAGGACAGGCACTGGCTGGTGCTTCCCCCGTGCTGCTGGCTCTGCCCTGAGAAGATGACCAGGGGCCGCTGTGTGGCGAGAAGCCAGGCTACACGTCACAGCAGTTGGGGTACTGGCTGCCCTTGCTCCTGGCTCCCTCCTACCTCACATCCCTTCTACCTCCTGACTGATGAGAATGCGCTGTGCTCACGTGAGGGGCGAGGGGCGTGGCCTGTCTCTCCCCACCATCCCGTGGAACCCTGAACAGCGGGCTCCTCTGAGTTTTTCCTCTCTCCTTCCCTCCCCTAAATCCACACGAAACAGCAGCAATGGCGGCCACTGCCCGACAGTGATGCAGCGGCCTCCTCGGTGCCACTGCAGACAAAGGGCATCCAGTGGGATGGATTGGGTGGAAACCAACTTTGGCATTTTTGTATTATTTTCATTATCAGCTGCAGCAGCAGCCAGAAGTGCCGACTGGCACATAGTGCTGTGCAAACTTGATCATCAAAGGCTGTTCATCCATTATACGTTGCCCGGCACTGAGAAAGCTTTACAAGGGATGGAAAGAAGTCTGTCCTGTCTGGTCTGCAGTCCATTTGAAAAAACACACAGGGCCACACCTGAAATGTAAATGAGCACAGAGGACAGGTGCCAAATGAGCAACAAGACTAAGTGTCACGGGGTCCAGAGGAGAGAGCGAGCCTGGGGACAGTGCCCAGGGACAGTGCCTGGGATGAGGCTTAGCAGGACGTGGGGATTGTGGCTCAGAGATGGGAGAGCCAGGCAGGGTCAGTAGAGATCAAATATTGCCCTTGCTACTGGCAATGGCTAGTTGAGGGTGTAGCTCAAAAGTTAAGCAGGTCAGCTGACAAACCCCAGGAGGAGGCCACTGCCCAGCCTGCTGCAGGCCATACCAACGGAGGCTGCCCGGCTGCTGCCACCGCCCGCACACCTGGCACAGCTGTCCCAGGGCACAGAGCCATTATCCTGGGGATGGCAGGCAGAGCAGGGATGCCTGTGCAGGATCACGTCTTCTTCCGGAAGTTAGCAATCGGGTGAGTCCCTCCGCTTGCCAACTGCATCCCAGCCCCCAGCAAAAGGGAGGAAGGCCAGAAATTACGAGAGTGGACTCCCTCCTCAGGGAAGAAACGTCAGAAGTGGGAACGTGTTTCCTCCACCATCAGTTTCTGCGTCCCTCCTCTCACTGCTGGCAGTTCTTCATGGATGCTGCGCTTGGGACAGGACAGGGTCCACTATAGGGAGCCCGTGATCCTGATGCAGCAGAGTTGGGGCCACAGGGTCTCGGCGTGCTTCCCAGTACGCAGTGCACCATCAGGAGGCTGCCGGATGGGGACTGTGGTTTGCCAGGCAGGGAGCCTCGGCGGAGGGGAGAGGGCCTGGAACTCTCCATGTGTGGCTGGCATGAAGGCTATGGTCTGGAAGGGAGGGCCTGTCATCTGGGAAACATGCAGTGTGTGCAGCACATGGATCCTGGGACCAGGGAAGGCTGTCCACATGCAAGTGACACAGGCAATTGGTCCCCTGTCATTACATGCTTGGTGGAAGCACTCAGAGTGTGTCACAAACACCATGGCTTCCCTCCAGGGTCGCTGAGCTTGTAGGTTTGAAACACAAAGGAGGCTGCAAAGGTCAGACCTGCTGTTTACTAAAGGCCTTATCAGATGCCTTATCAGACATCGAAGGCCATAACTGATACCAGCTCAAGACAAGGTTGACATAAGGGAAGCCATATTGTAGAAAAGAAAAACTGTATTGTAACTTTGAATGACCTCTGACACACTAGCCCAGCTGGATCTGCACCCTCCAGGAGATCTACCTGCTCTGTAGATTTCACGACCCCTGCTTGTGCACGTACCTCCCAGCTGCGATGAGATGATAACTTTGCTTTTTTGAGTTCCTTAGGAATGTGATGACCCCCAAACAGGGAGTCTATGCTGACAGCCATCATCAGTGAAAACTGAAAGATCTGGTGTGGCACCCCCCGTCTGTGACACCAGAAGATCAACATTCCTGACCCCTCCCCTATAACCCAATGGCCTATATATCTGCTGTAAGATTTCGTGCCCCCTTAAGATGGCTCTTTTGGACATGAGTCAGCCATCTTCCCTCTTGCTAGCAAGCTATAATAAAAAGTCCTTTTCTCCTACCACCTTGCCTCTTGACTATTGGCATGTCTTGCGGCGAGCAGAAGGCCCCACGTTGGGAGGTAACATAACCATGAGGAAGAAGGCAGCCTGAGGAGCAGTCTGTGGGAGCTCAGAAGCCGGGCGCTTTGTACGCGAGGCCACACAGTGAAGGTGGGCTTATCGGCTCTTATCTTTTTAAAACAATCTGTGCCCAGAGGCCCTTGGAGCCAGGCTCTCATGACCGAGATAGGAGTCAGCATGGCATCATTGTCCTTGGTGTCCTCATTGTCAGCAGCATCGTTGCCGTTTACTGTTCCCAGCAGGTGACGTGTGCTGCTGCCTCGACTCCTCACCAGAACTCCGTGAAGTGGGTGTTGTTACCATCATCTCCATTTTGCACGTGGGAAACAGTGGCGGCCCTAGAGGTGCCCTTCTCCCTCCCTGTCTCTGGATTTCCTCTTCCCTTATCTCGTTCAGGCAGGTGTCCAGCCCTCTGAGCTGTGCCCCACGGGAGGGATATAGCTGGAGGGAGGGGCCCCCAAACAAGTGCACACCTCGGGAAAAGCAGTGAGTGGCCACCAGCAGAGTGTGCCCTTGGGGCAAAACTGTCAGCACAGCTTCTCCTGGAGGCAGCCCAGGGAGCGGCCAGCCCCCAGGGCAAATGGCTCCGTGGTGCCTCTGGGCAGAGTGGCCTGCAAAGGTTGACTACATTCCCTGTGGTGCACAACAGCAGAGTCTGGGGAACCCGAAGGGCCCCCTGGATGGGGACAAAGGATATCTGCCAGCCAGCTCCCTAGACCAATGGCCAGCTCCCTCCCCAAGGAAGAGCACAGACTGGCACAGCCAGGAGGATTCTCAGGGAGGACCAAGGTCACCCTTCCTCCCAGCAGCTGATGCAAAGGGGGCTCCGGCAGAGATCAAGTTTTTTTTGTTTGTTTTTTTTTTTTTTTTTGTGGGGAGATCAGCCCTGTGCTAACATCTGCCAATCCTCCTCTTTTTTTTTTTTTTTTGCTGAGGAAGACGGCCCTGGGCTAACATCTGTGTCCATCTTCCTCCACTTTATATGGGACGCCGCCACAGCATGGCTTGCCAAGCAGTGTGTCGGTGCACGCCCGGGATCCGAACGAGCGAACCCCGGGCCGCCGCAGGGGAGCGCGCGCACCTAACCGCTTGCGCCACCGGGCCAGCCCCAGAGATCAAGTTTTTATAGACCAAGAGTGATGTTTCTATGAGTGATGGGCTGAGCCTATGGCAGGGCAGGACCGTGGGGTGATTAGTGTAGTGGAGGAAGGCATATTCTCCACCCACTCTGGGTCCTTCTGGCTGGGCTATGAATTAAAATTACATGAGACAGAATAACAGAAGAAAATCAAGCAAAGCTTTAAAACATGTATACATGGGAGAGACCCAGGAAAAACTGGGCAACTTGCCACAATGGCAGAGGTTTGCATCTTAAATAGCATCTTCAGGCAGACAAAGGAGGATGTTGGGGGTGGGGGGAGTCAGTTATGGGAGATTACCAGAAAAGCACAGTAAACAAGAGTAAGGTTATTATGCAGATTTAAGTCCTCGCCTTCCACACTGATAAGAGTTTCTAGAGATGAGGTCATCGCCCCTTCTTCCTGGTACAGAGAGGGAGATACCTTTACAAATGGAGGTTTCTTTTACAAATGTAGATGTCTCTTACAAAGGGTAGCTTCTACTTTTACTTAGTTTTCAGAGCTTTGATAAGAATGGGCTTAGCAAGGACCCTCCCAGTCTATCCACACCCAGACTTATCTATGGTGAATTCTTTTAGGCAGTTAGTGGGGGTGGAGGTCAATGTTTCTTTCAGAGTCTTTTGTTCTTATAAATAATCAAGATAAAGACACATATTTTGAGGTGGCCAATTCTTTTTTTTTTTGAGGAAGAGTTGCCCTGTGCTAACATCTGTTGCCAATCTTCCTCTTTTTTCTCCCCAAAGCCCCAGTACATAGTTGTGTATCATAGTTGTATAGTTATAGCCTCAGCATGGCTTGATGGGCGGTGGGTAGGTCTGCGCCCAGTATCTGAACCTGTAAACCCAGGGCCACCAAAGCGGAATGTGCGAACTTAACCACTGGACCAGCCCGAGGTGGCCAATTCTGATCCCCCACATTAGGCAGGAATGCGAGGGCTTGGGAAGGGAGGGTGACAGCAGGGGTGGGCCATCAGGAGAGGTGTTCACTGTGAAGCAGGGACAGAAATTGCTGAGTAGCTCCTCTGTGCCGGGCAGGAACCTCCTGTGGCTGCCTTCCCTCTCTTTCTCTTGAGGTAGTCATGTGAATGAGTGAATATGGCGCTAGAGGTGGCAAGAAGGCACTCACAGAGCACCCTGGCTCCAGCTGGGCCGGGCGGGGCAGGGGTGGTGAACAGGGTGGGAACAGTGCAGGCTGAGATGCAGGGCAGCCGGGACAATAAGGCTTCAGTCCTGGGTGCTGGGAGCTGACAGGGCCTGGAGCTGCCTCCTAGAAGGATGCCTCTGGCAGTGGGTTTGAGATGGTCGGGGGCATAAAGGGAATGTCAAAGAAGAAAAACTAAAAATCTTTTGTGTGTGTGTGTGTGTGAAGATTAGTCCTGAGCTAACATCTGTTGCCAATCCTCCTCTTTTTTGCTGAGGAAGATTGGCCCTGAGCTAAGATCTGTGCCCATCTTCCTCTACTTTATATGTGGGATGCCTGCCACAGCATGGCTTTGTGGGAGATCAAGATTTGGCCACCCTGAAAAATGTCTCTTTACCTTGATTGTTTTCTCTGAGGGACATTTGACCTCCCCCACTAACTGCCTAAAGAATTTGACATGGCGGCTCCCTCCTGGAACAGATCTTCTATCATGATGGCTGTAAAGATAATGTAGGATAGAGGTTACAATAGGAAAGGCACCAAGCCTCTTTTATCAAAAACTCTATCTCTCCATGACCACATTATCTATAGATGACCCTGA